TCCTTAAAAACATTATTGGTGTATTACTTTACTGTAATTACCAGTTCAACAACCTTTCAACGATTGGGTTTAGTCATGTCTATCAGGTTTCTCACTCAGTATTGCCTTTTTGATGTGAATACTTACTTTTTTGTTTGTGGATATATTTTTTTGTCTTTTTTAGGAAGAGTGAACATGCTCACTCAACAGGCCATGGGTTGGAACAGAAGGAAGAGGGACAACCTTCATCAAGTCTTAGCCCACAGATATGTCAAAGTAAGGGCAAATTACAATTGTCTTCTCATCTGACATTACATATTTATGAAGGATGTCTGCAATGTAACCTCATAGCTATACAGTATACATTATGTTCTCCCTTATCCACACTTCCTCTTGCAAGTCAGATGGTGTCATGGAATGTTTCAACTGTTCTTCTGACGGTCTTGTACTGAAAACTGGTGTTCTTTGCATTATGGTGTTGCATGGTGCTTTTGCTCTGACATTTTCTTTTTTTGGTAAAGATCACAGAGAGGGCAAAGGTGGAAGCTGCCAGCTTCAGCGACTTCAAAAAGGAGCACAACCTTGATCAGGAGACCATACAGCAGTGGGTGATGTGAGTGTATGATGTCAGGCAATGGGCAGTCACAGGTAAGACATACCACAGGTTTTCCATATATACATCTGTTAATTACTGTAAGTTTAGACACACAATATAAGTTGGCCATATGTTGAAACTGAGACTGTCACTAATTGTATCTCTTCTCCAATTGTTTTTTTGCAATTATTTAGAGAGAGTACGCCCCAGGGTGTACTGAAGGACTGAGGGTGGATATTGAGAACATCACCGTCACTCTTTTGCGCAGGAAGCAAGATCTGTATCGTCAGCATGGTTTGTTGTCAAACGTAGTTATTGAAATTGCCTTTCAAAAACAAAAAAAAACATTCTGGCACCATGACACAGTTTTGTTTCCGTTTCACTTTGCAGACAGCAACCAGGCAAGGCAAAGGAAGAGGAAGAGAATGAGAGAGCTGAAGAAGAAGCTTCGCGAAAAAGTTGTGCAATACAACACCGGAGTGCAGGAAGAACAGATTGACGAGGAGTTGGCTTGCAGTCTGACAGAGGGCTACATCTTACCATGGGAGATGCATGCAAACGGTAGGATAATTGCTAGTTTGGCTTGTTGTTTTTTTAGTCTATACCAAAATATGAAAGAACCAATGCTATCGCTACAAAGATTTGTGTCTCAGAAATAAAAATCATTCTGTAATAATATAATATATGAATAAATATTCCTTGTCCACTACTCCATTCCTTTCCTCAACCTAAAGGCAACACCTTCAGGTTGAAGAGGTCTGTCTTTGACCAGGTAATGCTGGTCAGACGTTTGGAGGAGGAGCAGAGCATCCTGGTGAAAGAGATGTCGCAGCACATCATGTTCCTTCTGAAGGAAGTGCAAGAAGTGGAAGCACTCAGAGAACAGACTTTGGAGGGCATCAAAACCAGCAGTATGTCTGAGATCTTAACATTTGAATATTTTCATCACCTCTTCAACACATTGCTTGTCTTACATAAGTAGAACACATCTGTCACTGTGTCAGGCCGAAGTGAAATAGTAAATTACTGAAACTATTCTTTATCAAGATCATAATCGATTATTTTCTGTCTATTGACTATTTGTTAAGCACTATATAAACATTAATCAACATGTCCCATTTGGCCCCCAATATATAGTAACATCCTTCAGTTTAAGATGGATTTACCTATTTTCTAGTGTTTTTACATATGCAGCATTGTACAATGCAAAGAGATTTGCAATTGTCATGGTTTGTTTACATTGAGCCCTTTTTCTGTGTGATTCTCCCTATACAGATGTCGGTGACCTGACAGAGGATGCTGCACATGGGCTCCAGAGTGTCCTCAGTCGGAGGTGGCACTTCCTCAAAAGCCAACACAAACAGGCTGTACATGCGTACAGCGGTGTAGCCGCTTTGGAATGCCATGATCTTCAATTACAGCAGGACACTTATATGATTCTGTTTTCTTCAAGTTTGTATCTTCCTGGTCGAATGCACTTATTGTAAGTCGCTTTGGATAAAAGCGTCAGCTAAATGCAATGTAATGTAAGGTAACATTATAAAACACTATATATGAGAACGATATGAAACTATGCACTTGTTTCGCCCGAGTTCATAGTAATGTGAAAATGTGTTTATATTTTGTACTTCCGTTTATTTAAAGCGCTTTGACTTGCTGATGTGTATGAAAATAAATTGCCTTGCCTTTATATTTAACTGCCTCTTATTACTCAAACAAATAGCTATACAA